GATTTAAACGTGATCGTTTTCAGCAACCACGGGAAACTGTATGGTCACGAAAACCACTTCCTGACGGTTCCGATAAAATGTACAATTTTTCGTCATTCGCTATTGAAATGAACGAGTTTGAGGTAACTTTTCCATTCGAAGAGAACATATCCTATAGAATGTTTTAAAACAATTGCAAACTTTGTTTGAAATTTCACAAAAGTGGCATAAATAATCAGTACAATAGCCCTCGAATTGCTATCAGAAATTCTATATTAATGAAAATGGTAACAACTGGCATACGAACACTTCCAGGATGGTGTTGCACCAACTGATTCTCGACGTCGCCCCGATATGCGGTTGATGGAAAATGGGGATTGGGATGCTGCTAATCGTGAAAAATCTCGTTTGGAGCAAAAACAACGCAACGAAACCAGAAAATATCTGGTGAAATCATCGTGTATTCCACAGATTAATTTTCCTAATGAGATTCAGAATTCTGATAAAAATATTCGATGACTACTAACAATAAGAAGTGAATGTTTCGTAGAACTGATAATGATCGTTGCGAACATTTTGAAACTGCTTTCTGTTTTATTTATTTCCAAATAACATGGTTAATTGTAAGGTGAAAAAATATCGTATTTACACCTTGGTCAAAAAATAGTGGTTCGATCAATGTTTAAGAAGATAATTAATAAGCGAGTGAGTCTTCGTTCAGGAATTGTTAGAATCGAAAAAAGTTAAAGTCGCACGACCAATTTGGTTCAAGAAAACTAACGAATTTCACAATGAGTGTGTTCATTATAAATATCGAGGTGAATACTGGAAATGCAAAAAAACTCAAGATTGGTCTAAATGTCCGGATATATTCACCTGAATTAAATACTTGAACAGTGATTACTGACTAATCTTTGGTGAAAATGCCAGTGATTCGCCAAATGTCGTTTGTTCTTATTAGCGTTTCAAACGATTGATGCATAAATTTGCTATTTCAAATGGTGAATAAATAAATATGCCCAGTGTCACAGCGATGATTGTGTGTTGCACGTCGATAATTTATGGCTCAAATTTGTTTCCCTTTGTACCTGTGG